TGTGGGTGTGGGAAACAAACGTGGAGCCTAACCAAAAGGGGCCTTTTTTTGATTTAAAAAAAAAAAAAAAAAAAAAAAAGCAGCTGAGAAGCTTCCCGCTGGGAGTGGGGCTGCTTGGGGGGTGCCTCCCTAGGGCTCTGCTCTGGGCTGAGGCCTCCAGGCCCCTCTCGGCTGGTCTCCACCCGCCCCACCCCCTGCGACATGATCTGATGTAAAAGGAGCCCCCAGTCCCCAACCCCGTCAGAGGAAGGGCTGGCTGAGGACTGATGACAGTGACTCCACTTGGACAGCTTTTCGCAGCCACGGGCCGCCCCTCCGTCCTCCGACCACCCCAGGAGGGCCCGGCCCACCCGGGGAAGAAGACGCCCCTCCCCAGCACTTATTTCCAACCTTCCAACTCCTTCCTTAACTTTTGAAAGGAAACCCGTTTGCGAATCCTGCTCAGAGAAGTGATCAGGTCCAGGCGAAGCCACACTGAGCCCCACAGCCAGTTTTCTTTAGGGGGCAGGGCCGACGCCGTCTGGGGATGCCTGGGGCTCAGGGCTCCTTCGTGGGCTCTCTTCCCCAGGGGCAGTGCTCCTGGAAGGCTCCAGGCTCCCGTCCTGGAAAGGGAGGAGGAGGCAGAGAGGGAAGGGACGGGCAGGAGAGGCCGGGGCAAAGGGGTCTGCACCCCACACCCCACGTTCTCCTCGCGGCCGGGGACACACAGCGTCCACAGAGCTTCACATTTCTGGGTTGTTTCAGTGCCTCCAAGGTGGCCATGATCTCAGGCCAGGTTCCCTCCCCAGTCTCGAGTCTGGGCCTGGAGATACCACTCCTGGGATCCATGTTTCAACACGTTCAGCACGAGAACAGCTCCCGACAGGAAGGCTTGCATCAACCTTGGTCCTTCAAACCCAGCATCACACCTGCTCCAGGTGAGGGGAAGCGGCCTCAGCAGCAGACGGGATTGGGGGTCTCCTGCGGGGCACCGTCCACCTTCGAGGGCCCACTGGGGAGGCCCTGCTCCCTTCTCCACTTGCCAGCTGTCTCCTGGGACGAGCTCCTGGGGGCCCTGGTGGCACTGGCCCGGACGGACAGGTGATCCCAGCCCCCCTGAAAGGAGAGAGTGGAGTGACCCGGGGCTGCCAGGGGTCAAGGGGCAGAGACCATCCTTCTAGACGGTTGGACTCTTGGGGGGCTCTGCCTGGGGCCTCCCACCCGAGAGCCCTCAGGGCTCGGAGCCCCAGGCCAGCACAGCCGCCCCGTGCCCAGCCCTGCTTACCCCGATGCCATAGTCCCAGCCCTGCCCCTTGGGCTCCAGGGGCTGCACACCCGTGCGGCGACACACAGTTCCCCGGCTCAGGCTGTGGCTCCCCTGGACTTTGTTGGCGATGACCCAGACCTAGAATGCAGACCCACTGAAGGCCCGGCCCCACTGCTGCAGGGGGACCGTGGAGACAGCAGCGGGGAGACCAGAGCAGAAACCTGGATCCCCCCAAGTCCCCGACCCCAGGGCAAGCGCCCACCCCCAGCCCCTGTTGCCCCAGACCTGGTCCAGGGGCCCCACGGACACGTGGCGCACGTTGTTGGACACGTGTTCCCAGCTGGTGCCCTGCGGGTAGCTGGGTGTGACCCCCTGGCGGTACCACAGGTTCCCTAGGAGAGAAGCACCGATACCGTGAGGCCCCGAGCATCAGGATCCACTTCGGGGTCTGCAGGGCCGGGAGGTCTGACCACGAGACAGGCGGGGTCTCCCTCTGCATCCCC